AACGCGAAGCAGACGTTTCTATTCTATTTTCACTCACCCAGAGAAACTTATCGTTTATTCTGTACATAACTTTATGTTCTTTGATTTATATACGTTCTCTTATTTCAACAAGTTTCCCAGCCAATTTCCCCAGCCTAGGTGTCTTCTTTATCGAACATAAAATGAAGCGTGCCCCCGTTCCATTTTCGCACGCCGAGAGGCTCGTTGTTTAGTCTATTTATTACCGTGTATCCTTCAATTATACATTTTGTTCAAATGCCGCTTTACTCGCAACAAGTTCCCCGGCCAGTTCCAACGCCTCCGGCGCTCACCTTCGTGAAACACACGAAACGAAGCGATGTCCAATTCGATTTTCGCTCGCGGACGTTAACGACGACGCGCGTTGAAGCAACCGCACCGGCGTACACATCATTTATTTACAACACGCCGTTAAATTGTTTAAACGATCGTGATTGGCCGCGAAGCTTCCCGTCATCTTCAATTTACGCTCGCCAGAGATACTTTATCTGGTTAAACAATCTCGCGTTATTTCCACGCCACGTTTACACGAGGAGGCAAACTGATTATGGTAATTTTCGCTCTCGTTAATTACACACACAGCCGGGGCCGCCGTGGTGGACAAACAGCGAACCTCGATGAATCGATTCCGGTAACCTCGATCCAAGTGAAAAGTTTCGTTTGCTCGCTTTTATCATTCGTCTCTCGTTATAATACGCTCTTTATTCGACGCGACTCCTCGCGGACAGGATGAAAGCCCTCCCCCCTCCTCGCCGTGAAATGGACACGACCGATTACACTCGACCGAGAATATTAAATCGGATAAGGAACATTAAATATGGCGATCACGTTCGCGTTGTACCGAGGGTCTGTTAATTACCTGGTCGTGCTCGTTAACGCGTTACTTTTCGATACGATCGCGGTGTGGCGAGCTGTGTGTGAAATTCCAATCAATTCCGCAACGCGGGAGCGGAGGGCGAGGCAGCTCGATCGTTTTAATAATCGTTTAAAATAATAACGTTGACTCGACACGTTCGCGGCAAAGTGTCGGACGTCGTTGCGACCGCGCGACGACACGATCCTCGTCCACCGGGAAGTCTCCCTTTGATAACCCGGCTAATTATTCGGGAAATAATGCACATTTCAGGGAAATTATGCAAATTAACGAGCCATCGGCTTTTGGCGAGCTCGCGTAAATCGAATCCTAATTATAAAATCGTACTAACGTCGCTGACGGATTTTTAATTACTCATAACGTCGCGTAACTTTCCGATTCTGCTCATCGTTCATTCCATTTGCGTTGGTTGGATTATACATTCATCAAAATCTCACTTTAACAAATTTTTTTTTTTTTTTTTTTTTTTTTGTAAAGAATTTTGTTGCAAAATTGTTTATTTTTTAAACAATTTTCAACATTATTCATTTTTGGGATAATTTATTCTGAACAACAATTTCTTTCGATATCTTTTAGAAAAACTTCACTTTTTTTTTTAAGGTTAATAGTTTTTCTTTCTGACTTTTTTTTTTGGTAAAAGGATTTTCCAGTTACTTTTATAATTTTTTAAAATTTTCTATAATCTTCCCTATAAAATCTATAATTTTCTATAATCTTCTCTAAAAAATCTATAATTTTCTATAATCTTCTCTTTAAAATCTATAATCTTCTCTATAAAATCTATAATTTTCTATAATCTTCTCTGTAAAATCTATAATTTTCTATAATCTCTATAAAATCTATAATTTTCGATAATCTTCAAAATTATTCATTACTCATCACAATTTAGTCTATTTAACAATTTCTTTCAATATCTTTCAGAATTTCACTTCATCCAATAATTTATTCTATCTAATAATTTATTCCTTAATAAATAACTCTAGAAATTTATTAAATCCTTTCTAAATCTAATTTCCTTCTAGATTCAACATACAAAACAACTTCACCTCATGTTACATGTATGCAAGTATAAGCTCCAAAACTCGAAATCAATTTTAATTTCAAATTAATTTCAATTAATCCAAAAGTGTTCCTAACTTTACTCTGAAAAAAAAACAAAACAAAACAAAACAAAAAATATCCTTCTCCACTAAATCTAAATCTTTCCCCACGTATAATATAGCGTAGAACAATTTTATCAAAGTGCAAGAATACCTACAACGCGCTCATTCAAATCAATCAAATCAGTCCCACTTCACGTGCACTTGACAGACCGGATGCGTGCGTGACAAATCCGAGTAATAAACGACGAACGATCGGTTCACAGGGACGACAATAATCGTCGAAATATCCGTGGAGAACCACGCTTAATCGAATTCGGCGCGCGAATTAATCATCGTGGAATCGAGCAACGAACGACGACGATAGTTTCCCACTTGGATCGTTGAAAAGGACACGAATTATTTCTGGATGGTGATCCCCGGTTTAACGCATTCCATAAACGTCCCGGCGATTTTTCATCCGGCTTTAGAAAGTCGCGGGAAAACAGGCGCGGTAAACGCGGCGAATTTCAAATCGCGAAAGTATTCGACGAGGAAAGTTCTCTGTCGACGAAATTAACTATTTATTCAGGAAAAAGAACAGGGTTCATAACTTCTAGAGTAGATAGTAGTAGTTGCCAGAAAAAGAAGAGAAGACTTCAGAAGACAGTTTCAGAAAAAGAAGACATTATAAGGTAAACCACTACTTATATATTTATAATTTATAATTTGTTTATTTATTATTTATTTATTTAAAATTTATTGTTTATAATTTATTATTTATTTATATTACCATTTTATTATTTATTTATTTATAATTTATTATTTATTTATACTACCATTTTATTATTTATTTATATTACTATTTTGTAATTTATTTATTTATAATTTATTATTTATTCATATTACCATTTTATTATTCATTTATATTGCCATTTTATTATTTTTTATTTATTTATAATTTATTATTTATTTATAATTGAGTTTCACTCGAATCTAAAGATCATAACTGGCTATACATTTAGATATTATTAAAGTTTTAGAATTTTTTCTGTCCCCAAAAACAAAGTAACAAAAAAATTTATGAATATTCTGACAACGCTGACAATTATTGCTATGTTACCGTCGTCACGATAATAATAGTCAGGTACAATGCATATAGTATTTGGGTGCACTTCTCATGGTCGATACAACTATAGAGCTTCGAGAAGACATCCTACGTGTACGCGGAACTTGCGGCGAGGCCCTACAAGTGCAAAGTCCTCGTGAATGGCCTCTATGCTTCGTAGCTTATGACATAATAGTTTTATGTATGCCGCATATGGCGCGGCGTAATGCACTTACGGGATCATGGGCGTTAGATGCGTCCGAAAGACGTTGCTTCTATTGTGACTTTTGTAATTTATTCGTGTCGTACGACTCGTCGTAAACCGTTGAAAATTGTGTCTCGTGTCTCCACAGATGCAAAATATATCTGCACGCTGATAGATTCTGTTTTCCTTTTAAAAACTCAAGTTCTTGTATATTTCTCTATATATATTTCACAATATTGTCATCATCTGAAAGTGAGAGTTTTTAACTGATATTTATGAAGAAAGTTTTACACTTGAAGAATTTCCTTTCATGATGGAAAAATAGTAAACTCTCTTATTCCAAAACGTGAAAGTTGTCTCCACAGATACAAAATATATCTGCTAGATTCTGTTTTCTTTGTAAAAACTCAAGTTCTTTTATTTTATCTTTCTACATGCTATATCTCATAATATTTCCTGAAATTGAGCGTTTCTGATATTTATCAAGAAAGTTTACGTTTTTACACTTGAAGAATTTCCTTTTATGGTTGAAGAATAGTAAACTCTCATTTAAAAGTGATGTCCTTTTCCATAACGTGAAAGTTGTCTCCACAGATACAAAATATATATCTGCATGCTGATAGATTCTGTTTTCTTTGTAAAAACTCAAGTTCTTGTATTGTATATATCTATATATATCTCACAATATTGTCATCATCTGAAATTGAGAGTTTTTAACTGATATTTATGAAGAAAGTTTTACACTTGAAGAATTTCCTTTCATGATGGAAGAATAGTAAACTCTCTTATAAAAGTGATATCCTTTTCCAAAACGTGAAAGTTGTCTCCACAGATACAAAATATATCTACTAGACTGCTTTCTTTGTAAAAACTCAAGTTTTTGTACTGTATCACTCTAGATACTAGATCTCACGATATTCCCTGAAACTGAGCGTTTCTTAATCCTGATATTCATCAAGAAAGTTTACGTTTTTACTCTTGAAGAATTTCCTTTTATGGTTGAAGAATAGTAAACTCTCATTTAAAAATGATGTCCTTTTTCATAACGTGAAAGTTGTCTCCACAGATACAAAATCTGCATGCTGATAGATTCTGTTTTCCTTGTAAAAACTCAAGTTCTTGTATTGTATCTTTCTGTATATATCTCACAATATTGTCATCATCAGAAACTGGGAGTTTTTAACTGATATTTATCAAGAAAGTTTTACACTTGAAGAATTTCCTTTCATGATGGAAGAATAGTAAACTCTCTTATAAAAGTGATATCCTTTTCCAAAACGTGAAAGTTGTCTCCACAGATACAAAATATATCTACTAGACTCTGCTTTCTTTGTAAAAACTCAAGTCCTTGTATTGTATCTCTCTCTATATATCTCACAATATTGTCATCGCCTGAAACTGAGAGTTTTTAACTCTGATATTCATCAAAAAAGCTCCGGTTTTACTTGAAGGATTTCCTTTTATGATGGAAGACTCTCCTTTAAAAGTGACAACCTTTTCCAAAAAGTGAAAGTTTCACGTTCCAAAATTTCCAACTATTATTATTCGTTTCTCTAGAGACGATCAGACGCTGTGTACAAGCGTTGTCAACGACAGGATCCAAGGAAGCTCGATCACGAAACACGGGCTCTCTCGTTACCGGAAGTAGCAGCCACGCGTCACATATCTCACCGCTTCTCTCACGGTTTCACGTGTTCATTCTTCTGATTTTAATACACCATCGAGATTCGCATTAGCTCAGGTGGTAATTTTCGCTTTTAATTTTCTCGTTTAGCGGTGCTGATCTCGTAGAACGAGGCTGATTGCCCCGGGTGTAACGAAACGATCGAGTCGGATTATCGGATGATACAGCAGCATTCGTTATTAATGTCCGCGGCGGAGAAAAAAACGCTTCGCGAAGAAATTTTTACTTGCGTAACACGGTATCTCGGTTACGTAACACAACGTGAAATACCGTGTCGCGAAATGGGGAAAAGACAATCGCGAAAGCGTGAGAATTATTTCTGCACGTCCTCGCCGACGAACAATTAGATCCATCGGCTTAATGAACCATGCTGCTGGCGTCTGTGACGTCCGGGAGAAATTTTCTAATCCTCCCGAGAGGAAGATGTCGAACGTGATAATTTGTACGTTGAAGATGTCTTGAGCTTGGGAGGAAGGAGGCAAAGTAGCTTTTGTTTGACTACATCTTAGCGTAAATTTAAACCACAATAAATGGACAATTGTCGATTCGTTGAAGTGAATTTTAATTTTGCACTCTGAAAATTCTGCGTTTCGGATGTAAGATTCGCCAGGTATTATCTTCCAGATTCTAGATTTTTCCTAGATTTTCTACTTCAATTGGGAACGTGAAAGAAATCCCTGAATATGTGTTTCTAGAGTTGCGTTTCCTTGAAAATGTTTTAGACCTAGGAAGACTTTTAAGATCTTCGTGTGACTACTTTCCTTCTTTTACAAATATTAAGTAATAAAAAATTTGTGATTTAACAAAAAATAAGTGACTATAATTAAGTAATAAAAAATTTGTGATGTAACAAAGAATAAGTGACTATAATTGAGTAATAAAAAATTTGTGATTTAACCAAACATAAGTGGCTCTAAATTAAATAATAAAAAATTTGTGATTAACCAAAAATAAGTGACTATAATTAAGTAATAAAAAATTTGTGATGTAACAAAGAATAAGTGACTATAATTGAGTAATAAAAAATTTGTGATTTAACCAAACATAAGTGACTCTAAATTAAATAATAAAAAATTTGTGATTAACCAAAAATAAGTGACTATAATTAAGTAATAAAAAATTTGTGATTTAACAAAAAATAAGTGACTATAATTAAGTAATAAAAAATTTGTGATTCAACAAAAAATAAGTGACTATTTAACAAAAAGATAAGTTTTGTTAAATAGTCACACAAAAATATACATACTTGAAAAACGTATGTATGCACATGTATATGTACTGAAAAAAATATGCACACGTATTGGAAGAAACACATGTGCACGTACTTGAGGCACACGCTTGGAGAGACATCGATTTGAATGAACAGAGCACGATTAATTAATCCTACCTTTGTGTGAAGGAACGCCAGGGACTTGTTCACGTTCTCGATTTTGTGCACACGCATGCGACCATTGTTTGGCTTGGCCAGTCGTTCGCCGGAGATGATCTCCAGCAGTTTCAGCAACTTCTTGCCGTCCGCTAGATCCGTAAATAAATCCTCCACTTCCATACGTGCCTGCGAAGTGAAAGTAATCGAAATCAACAAGGATCTACGCGAAGGAATCTTCCTGTCTAGATACGCCAAATACGTGACTGCACAAGTAACGTGACATTTCTTTCCTAGAAAGGCATCGTCCAAATTTGAACTTGCAGCCAAAAAACTTTGCTTCAACTCGAGAAGAAATTCGACAAGTTCTTGGAACTCTGGTATCACTGCCTTTTTCAAAGAAACGATCTTCTTGAAATAACAATATACCTTCAACAGAAACGAGTTGATCCATTTGGTGAACGTCTTCTTCTGTATGTGCAGACGTTCCTCCTGCAGGGCCTTGATACGGCCCTGCTCGAACCTCAACGTGTCCTCCCTCTGAGTCATTCTTTTCTGTATGTCGGAACTACCCCTGTATTTGTCGATTCTGGACGGCGGATAGCTCGGTGGCACGTAGTCGTAAATGTAGCTCCTGTTCTGGGGTGCAGCGCCAAGCCCAGCGCCGGGCACATACTGCGCCCCTGAAACATTTCGCCAGAATTAGACACGGCTTCAAACACGCCGCATACCGGTGTTTTTCGACAGTTTACACAGAAACACCCTCGCGACGGAAATGAAGATATATCCGTTTCTTTTCAAAACGGTGGTGACATTTCACAGAAATCGAGGGGAGGAGCGTTCCTTGAGGAGTGTCGAGGGAAATTTTCCAATGATTCTATTTCAGTGACTGTGGTAAGATATATGGTACTATACAGAGACAATACATGATGCGGAGAGCTAAAAATTATAACGAGATCGAACAACCCAATCAATCGTATTCAGCCTACCAAGTATAGATTATAACGTGAGTCTTTTCACAATTAAAATTAACTGTCGGTCAAAGTGACCAATTTATAATTTTCTGTGGAAATTTTGTATATTTGTGACGGTGTGTTTTTTTTAGATACAATCGAACAATTTTTAATAAAATATATAAACATATTAATTTAATAAAATATTTAATAAAATATATTAATTTTAAATATATAAGTATGTAAATATAAAATATATTAATTTTAAATATATAAGTATGTAAATATAAAATATATTAATTTTAAATATACAAATATATAAATATGAAATATATTAATTTTAAATACATAAATATATAAAATATATCAACTTCAAATATATGAATGTGAAATACATCAATTTTAAACATATAAATACAAAATATGTTAGACTTGTGTTCTTTACTGTATTATTAACTTTTTCTTGCACCTTGCTACGAACATATAATATTATAATATTATCATTACAATATTATAATATATATTATATACAATATAAATAATATATAAGTAACTCAGTCCCTCACTGAATAAATTTAATTTCCATCTCTTTATTGCTACGTCCAGCGTTCAACACCTAAAAACTAGAAAAACAATTATCTGTAATTTTTGAAGGCCAATAAGTTTCGAAACTTATTTATCCTGTTGATACTTCTAATTTATCCAGTTAATCCTGGCACGATACCAAGCGAAGCGAAGACAGTCCTATTAAATCCCAGTTTTTCCGCTCGCCCGCCAAAGCGAGCGATTCGCATTCGCGTGCACGTTTATTCGGTGGTTGTTCGGTCCATACAAGGCGGGAAAAAATTTATGACACATGCCGGTTCGTCGACGATAGCAACGATAAACCGTGGACAATAATTCTGTCGAGTCACGAACGCCAGTAAAAAACGAAACGGTTCTACCGGATAAACGTCGTTCGCGCTTGCTCTTTATTTACCTTGCGCGTATTTCGCCTCTCTCTCTCTCTCTCTCTCTCTCTCTCTTCGTTGCTCTCTTTCTCTTTTTCCTTTTTTTTATTATGACCCGCCATTGTCCGCCGAAAGACGCGGACAATCGATTTTACTCGGCGGTTTAAACCCGGTAAAAGTCACGGAACCGGGCGAAAGAACGGAAGATCGGCCGTAAAATCAATCAATCGCGATTTTTGAACCTCGATCTTGTTATGAGGATGTTCGACGACGCGATGAGTTAGAATTTATCTACCTCTCATTCGAAAATGGAATTTTCGTTTCTTCACGCAGATCGCGAAGAAGACTTGGAGATTCGCTTATCGTGTGATTCTCAGATGATAATCAACTGATAATTTATCAAAGGCAAACAATAAAGCGTCGTGTTTTTTTTTTTTTCCCGTTTGGAACCTGATTTAGTAACAAAAATGTTTAATACGTGTGTGCACAAGAGAAGATTCTCTCTACAAACAAAAGACGATTAAAATGAAAGTCTTTTTAAAGGAATGAGTTATGGTTATTGAACTCTGACACGTTCAAAGTCCAGCCTCGCGTGCCTTATCGCACGCTGATGTATATGTATCCAATAATCAATTCATATCGCGCGTTATCGCTCGAGATTAACTTCGTAGCAAGTGTTCGGGCAAATTTTTCCCCCCGAGGGAGAGAAAAGAAAAGCATTACGAGCAGAAAATGGAAGAAAACGACGCAAGCGGCTGTTTCGTCGCCGATAATTTTCTATTTCCGCAACGTGGAAACGATTCTTCCACTCTCCGGAGAAGATACCTTATCGAAACCTGTGATAGCCTCGTAATTGAAATAGTCGCGACAACAACGCGATGACACAGTTATCCCTTCGCTTCGTGTAACTTCACGTGGAGTGAAATTCTACGCGTGATCCCTATTATTTCTGACAACATGAACATTTTGAAATTTAAAAGCCCCTGAAGAACTTTTCAACCGTTCTGTTCGAAACAGTCGGTGATAAGATAATGGAAATTTATGGATCATAAAACGACGAGATTCGATTTTGAAAAAAAAAAAAAAAAAAAAAGAGTATTATACAGCCAGTGAAGTTTACTGCTCAATAACGAATATTTGATAAAATACTACATTGCAATTACTACTTGAGAATCATTTTCAACTATTACTACGAAGCTCCGATTTAAAATTATCCCTAATTGGGGAAACATGCATTATGATACCTGCAATCAGTACGAACTAAGAATTAACTAATTAAAGGAGATAAGATTCGTTTAAAAAAAAAAAAAAAAAAAAAAAAGAAGAAAGAAAAAGGACAATTCCGCGATCGCGAATTCCGAGCGAGTTGCGATACACCGTAGAAAGAGAGAAAGAAAAAGGAAAAAGGGGGGAGGCGAGGACTTAGGAGTCAGGCCTTATTAAGCCATTGAACTTTCTCCTTTGTCATTTTTACCCGCTCGCGGCCGCTTCTCGGCTCGAATGGAAAGATACAAGACGTATTTCGCGTTGCGTGACTCACCCACCTCCCTCCTCACGCGGTTTTTCCTTCCATTTGCGGAACAGAACGACGTCTTTCCACCGTACTTTGTCTGCGAGGGGTCGCGTCACGTGTAATTCACCCCCGCGTGCTTCTTTTTTTTATTCGCTTCGAGAATTGGATATACATGTATATGCCACCATCCCTCTACTGCTGCCATTCAGGCATACGTTTGAATAAATAATCCTGACGTCTCTCTGTGCTTGGCGGTTCTCGGAATAATTCGTTTCAACTCTTTTTTTTTTTTTCGCCCTCTCCTTCGGCTTGAAATTTCAACCCTTCTTAAATCGCATCGTATCGGGCGGGACTGAATTATTCCATTTGGCAATTCTTTTTTTTCTTTTTTCTTCTGACTTCGACAAACTCGAGTTTGTATAATTTTAATGTTTCAACCTAGGACGATCGAAATTTTTAGCTGACGAATCTCTCAGTTCTCCAGATGAATTAATTGAGCTTTGCCTGTTTGAAAATAGGCCAGTTTGAACTGTGAGATTACAGTGAGATTTTATTAACCAGCCTTATATCATTGTCAGTGTTCTAGCGAATTGTTCCTCGAATATTCACGCTACGCAGCGAACGAAAGTCTAAAAATTTTCTTAACTATTGTATATCTCAAGATGTCATAACTGACGTTAGACTGTGAATTCTCGATGCATTTATAGAGTTCGAAGATTCAAAAGTGCATACAGCACACGTTTGTTACTGGTACAACAAATCCTCAAAGTGAAATATTTATTGTAACATTTGTGTAATAAAGCCAATTTGTATTTAGGCTACGTTCATAGAAATGCACAGAAATCTTGACATAAATTCTCTTGTCACATTTCTGCTCTAAAATAACACACGACGCCAAATTCCTCCAATCATCCGCCAATTTTAACCACACAATCGCAAACGTAGAAACGTAGAAAATGTTCTCTTCGCTGCAATAAATAAAACTGAAACGAAAAATTATCTCACCGTAGCAACGACCATAATTCACCGCGTCACAGGCGAACAAAACCGAAGAGAATCGCTGTAAGACGGTCTCTGGAAAAGGTTCGAAGTGGCGTATTTATCACAATATTTTCATTAAAAAAAAAACCGATTTGTATCTAAGTTACATTCACAAAAATCTTGACACAATTCCTCTCTAAAACAACACACGATGCCAAATCAATCTCTCCTATCTTCCACCGATTTTACACAATCGCAAACGTAGAGACGTAGAAGAAAATGTTCTCTTCGGTACAATAAATAAAAAACTGAATCGAAAAATTACCTCACCGTAGCAACGACCATAATTCACCGCAGTTGCTGTGAAACGATCGCTGGAAAAGTTGTGTCCCGATCAGCCACGCGTTCTCACATTTTCCGCCGTTAGTGTCGAGGACTTCTTCGTCGCAGTTTTTTGCCGCGGCCAGCAACGAGCTCGCGGTCAGGAAGTCGCGAATTATCCTTTAATGCCACGGCTCGATCCTGGACCACCCTGAACGAGTTTAGCGCTACGAGCTCGCGTTTTTTCTCCCTCGATGACGCGGCAGAAAGCGAGCGCAACGATGATGATGCTCTGATGGATCCTTCTCCCTCTAACGCATCGCGTGTCTCCGTTTCGTGGAGAGCGTGAACATGATTCGGATTGCTTTTTGCGCCGGATGGAGGAGAGTAAACAACGTTTCAACGCGAACGTTCTTATTAGCGGGGATCGTCGGAGGATCGAACACGTTAGGTGCGTGGTTCGAGGGAATTGAGACGTGTCGCGTAGATTGTGGTAGCCACGAGGAATTGTTTCTTTTTTTCCCTTTCATTAAAAGTCTTGATTAATTTTAGCATTAAACGAAAAGGAAATTTTTCAAATTGTTTGAAATTATTGATCTTCTTTGCTTGCAATTAGAATAGATGAGAAAAGTATCTAGATTCGAAGATAATGAATGTTTTTATAATGCAAAAGTCAAGAATCCATTTTATCCGTAATTTGTGTTTGAGCATACAGTTTTCATAAATAAATAAAATAAAGAAAATTTATCAACATTTACTTGGAAAAACTTATAAAATAATATAAAATAACATATAATATATATATAATAAAAAATAATATAATACATAAAATATACTTATAGAAATATTTTGAACCTATTGTTTAAACAAAAGGTTTCTTTGAAAAATGATATACGCCATTAAATTCGTCGTAAAGAAAACTAAACTAAATTGTTCTTGTGATAATTTTCGAACTCTATCTTGAGAACTCTGTCTTCTTCGTTCCTTGGAAGTT